TCTTATTAAGTGAATGTAAATAATATTTGCTTCTGCAATTTGGAGCAGCACATGATAATGTGAATTTATTATAAGTTAATGACATCGTTAAGGACCTCAGTATATTTTTACACCTATAAATTACTTAAATTTAACTAAAACTAAATTAAAAATAAGATTAATTAAATTTTACTCACCTACATTTTCCACGACTGTCATGTTTTAGTGTAACATAACCTAATTTATTAGCAAAGCCAGATTTACACCACCTCATAATATTCAAATGTAGCTTTAACTTTATAAATTTATAACAATTATCCCTGTATTTGATCATTATATTGTATTAAAGTGATATTTAAAAGATTGCATTAGTAAAATTATTGATTTCTTTAAAATTTATTCATTTTTTAATTATCATATGGGTGTAAAAACGGCTTTTATTTAGTGCTCGCAGCGCGTGAAGCGCGATATGATAAACTACAAACAAGGAAACAATTCCCGCCTATTATTCAAACCTTCTCTTTTTAGTTTTTCTATGGTATTTCTAGTAGTTAACGATATAGTAAAAGCATCTTTGGAAGGCGCTAATTTCTTTAATATGATTCAAAAAATTTATGTATTTTTTTTAGCATCTACTTTTCGCTGAGCAATTCTTCTAAAACATGTCCAGGGTTTGACTTTAAAACCATTAAATGATACTAGATGGGAGAGTAGGATAGAGGCTTTTTATATCGAAGGCGTATACGAACGCCTTGCTAAGCATTTATAAGAATGAATAAATTGATAATTTAATAAGGGGCCTCGGGTTTATTAAGTTGTATTAAACAATTTAAATTTTTGTGTTCAATAAGCAGATTGTTGCAGACAAAAGATATAGCATCTACACTTAATCTTTTGCAAAATTGCAAAAAGTTTTTTAGGATCTTCGATCGGATAAATCTTTTAATGAAACTATTGTTGATTCGAGAGAACTGGTTGACGAAATTGACGTTGAAGCCAATTTTGAATCAACAATACCACGACACCGTGTAAGAAGAAAAAAAGGAATTTCTCTTACGAAGCACGAGATGAAGCGATCGAGAATCCTATGAAAATTATAAGTTAGATTTTTTTTTATTTTACAATTGACCAGGTAGTAAATGCAATAGATAATATGTTTAAACAACTTAGTCATCATAGTAATTAGTTTCAGTTTTTATATAATATATGTAATAGAATGTTAAATTGTGCCCCAAACCTAAGTGTTTCCTTAAGAGTATTGCTGTCTATACCAGTAACTGTTGCAAGTTAACTACAACGCAAAATCGTCTTAATGGTTTGTCCATTTTAGTAATTGAGCATGAAATTGCTGATCAAATTAACTTAAAAGATGTATTAAAAATATTTGCGGAAATCAAAGATATAAAGAAACATTTCTTTTAGGTTATGCAATAATTTTTTGTACTTTTTGTTAATAAAATATATATACACCGTGTCCCACGTAAGGCGGGCATTACAACTTTATGGAGAATAAATTAATTTGTATTTTCGCCATTTTCTGAGTATACATAATCGAATATGCTCTTTTGAATTAAAATAAAATGAACTCTGTGCAACTTCCGGTTATACCGGAAGTGACCACTAACTTCGTTATTTTAAAGGGAATACCCCATATTTTTTTTTAATTTTAGATTCAGCATGAAATTCTGTAAACAACGATACCCCATTTGCCTATTCTAGTTATAGCGGATTTGGCGTTATTCAATTTTTTTCTACATTTTTAGTCGCCGGTAGACATTTTCTTAAAGTCGTCTATCTCAGGTACTATATCTATCAGATACTTAAAATTTTAACCAGAGGTAGTAGATGGGATGTACTTCTTGAGAATATTTAGTTATTTATTATTTGTTGTACGGGGTGTTTGCAAATTATTTTTAAAAATGAAATTTTTTAAAAATAAAAAACTTTTTTATTTTAAAGGGAACACCCTATATATTTTTTAAATTTTAGATTCAGCATGAAATTCTGTAAACAATGATACCATATTTGCCTATTCTAATTATAGCGGATTTGGCGTTATTCATTTTTTTTTAATTTTTAGTCGTCGCGCCGGTATGCATTTTTTTAAAGTCGACTGTCTCAGGTACTATTTCTGTTGGATACTTGAAATTTTAGCCAGAAGTAGTAGATGGGATGTACTTTTAAAAACATTTACAGTTTTCTGCAACAAAATATGTCGTTTAAAAAGTTTAAATTTTTTTAATGATAAGGTACATACTAACTAAAAACAATTTTTATTAAAAGCACATGGTTTAAAAAAATCATTTTATCAAATGTTCAAAATGCCCCCCGTTAGCTTCTAAACATTTTAACAATCTTTTTTCAACATGATTAGTTGTTGCTTTACGAATCATTTCACCATCTAACTCGTTAAAGGCATTCCGAACTCTTTGCTCTAATTCTTCTTTAGTATTAATTTGGGTAGAGTACATTAAATTTTTAATATGACCCCATAAAAAAATCAACAGGAGTTAGATCTGGCGATCTTGCAGGCCAAAGCCAAGGACCATTTGGACCTATCCATCGGTCTTCAAAGAGTGCTGTAATTTCTTGATTTACATAGTATGTTGAATGTGCTGGGGCACCATCCAACTGGTACCAAAAATTATTATTTGGTAGCTGGTTTAAAATATCGGCAACTACTTCTCTAAGAATTCTAATGTATCTTTCTGAGGTCAGTCTTTCATTATAAATGTAATAAAAAGCTCTTCCAAAACCGATAACTGCAAACACATTAAAACTAAATTCGTACTGAAATTGTGCTTCACGATAAAAATGTGGATTTTCGTTTGCCCAGAAATGACATTGCTTGCGCGATCCTTTTACGTGTAAATTTATACTCGTCTGACCACAAAATTTTGTTTAAAATCTCGGGATCTTCTTGAATTCGTACCAATAACCATTCGCATAATTCAGTTCGTCTTATTTGATCACCATCTCGCAACTCATGAACTTTTCTTTGTGCATAGGGATGCCATTTATTTAGTGCTAAAATTCGTTGTATTGACCCTCGACTAATATTTAAATTATCTTGAGCCATTCTAATGGAGGCGTGAGGATACGCAGTAAAATACCCTAATACGTTAATTAGATTAACTTCTTCATCTCGGACATAATGTTGACGGTTTCTTCCCGGGTTTTGTTTAAAATTATTCAAAAAGTTAGCTTCGATTCTATCAAATTTCTGTCTGTTCATTGGTGGTAAATGAGGGTATCGTTCATTAAACATGCGGCAGGTTCTACTTTTAATTCGATTACATTCTCCATGAATGTAAAATAAATTAAGAATATCTTGGTTGGTATATTCTTCAATATTTTCCATATTTTCCATATTTTGAACGCAAAAAATACACAACTTAAATACATAGAAATATGACAATTCAGTTTGTTGACAGATTGTTGTTTAGCATATTTCCACGGCATACTAAGATAAAAAATTAAAATGTAAAACTATACTATATTATGTAGGTGCATGCGTAAAATTTAAATTTAAATTTTCTTAAAATTGGCGAGAGATAATTATAGGGAATTAATAGTGCAAATGAAGATCAATGAAGAATAATTTTCTGAATAAAATGAAATAAAAATATACAGGATTTTCCATTTAAAATAAAAAAAATTTTCATGTTTAAAATATTTATTTTTTAAAATAATTTCCAAACACACAGTCGAACAAACGATGTACAAGTAAATTTAAAAAAGCAAATGTCTGCCGGCATATAAAAGTTTATAAAAAACTGAATAACGCCAAATACACTATAATTAGAATAGGCGAATGGGGTATCATTGTTTTCAGAATTTCATGCTGAATCTAAAATTTAAAAAATATATAGGGTGTTCAATTTAAAATAAAAAAGTTTTTTATGTTTAAAAAATTTCATTTTTAAAAATAATTTGCAAACACCCCGTACAACAAATAATGAATAACTAAATATTCTCAAGAAGTACATCCCATCTACTACCTCTGGTTAAAATTTTAAGTATCTGATAGATATAGTACCTGAGATAGACGACTTTAAGAAAATGTCTACCGGCGACTAAAAATGTAGAAAAAAATTGAATAACGCCAAATCCGCTATAACTAGAATAGGCAAATGGGGTATCGTTGTTTACAGAATTTCATGCTGAATCTAAAATTAAAAAAAAAAATATGGGGTATTCCCTTTAAAATAACGAAGTTAGTGGTCACTTCCGGTATAACCGGAAGTTGCACAGAGTTCATTTTATTTTAATTCAAAAGAGCATATTCGATTATGTATACTCAGAAAATGGCGAAAATACAAATTAATTTATTCTCCATAAAGTTGTAATGCCCGCCTTACGTGGGACACGGTGTACTATAAGCATTGTATATATAAGTATAGCAATAAAACTGCATCTTACATGTTCAAGTACTCTAAGGTTTGCTCTTTTTAAATGGTTATTATGTATTACTTATATTTTTTAAATAAATGATTTTAACATAATTTTTATTTTATTTAAAAAAACTGGTTCATGATAATTTTAGATAAATGTAAAACAAACGCGAGACAATGTTAATCAAACATAGATTTAATATACCCTATGTTGCGCAATAAAAAATATTCCCTGAATATATATGGAGCGGCAAATTGTCTATTTATCCGGGGTGATATAAAGGCTAGAGCGGGCCCTGTTCACTGTTGGGTTCTAATTAGCAGTGCTGTTCCTAAAGTGGCGCTGAAAAACAGTAACAAAGCCTACACAGAACACAACGCTAATAACCTTAAATTAAAACAAATATAACTTGATGTGGTAAAGATCTAATGAGTTTTCTTTCTCTTTCAGAACGGAATGATTCCAAACGGGCCGATATCAACGTCGAACCACACACCGCGCTACAAAGACGAAACAAAACCAACAAAGGTGATGATCGGCGTGTTTTTTCCACCTGGCTACCGCAATCGCGCTGGCCCGTCGGAGTGGCGGAACCTGTCAGCCTCTGGGGCCACGGCGATGCTGCCCACGCTCCTCCGGTTCGCGGTTCGTTCGCGATCTAACCTCCACTTCGCTCATACCTCATACGCTCAAGAGGAAGGCGCTCTCCGCCAGCCACAGAACGGTCAGAGCAGTGAAAGTGGCTGCCAGTCCGTCAACCGTCCGCTCAAATCTAGCAGGTCCATGCCGGTGGATCACCGGAACAAGTGAAAGGGGTGCTCGAATCTGAAACGCGTAATTTCCAGGGCGACTTGTCACTCGGGGTACGTGCTGTTCTCATGCGCGGGAGAGTTTTTGAACTAAAGCAGTTTGAACGTGCATGTGCTTGCGGAATTTGAATTTTGGTTGGTGGTGTGTTGTGCTTTGCAAAGTGGTATTTTTTTATCAGAAATATTGACATGTAAGTGTTTTTTATCTACCTATTTAAATTATTTATTTTATTCATTTACAAATTCTTTACAAATTTTACAATAAATACAAAAGTTTCAAAAAATATCATCAGGAGTTTCTCAGGGCTCTCACCTAGGATCCCTAGCCTTTTAATATATGAATATACATACTACGTAATTTGGCAAAACAATTACAAATATTTTTAAATTTAAAGTATACAGGGTGTTTCATAAGAAATGGTAAATATTTTAACCATAGGTTCAGGATCTCAAAATATTAATATTTTGCTAAATAACACTGATATACAGGGCGTTGAAGTTAATTTTCATTTTTTTGCAATATTTTCGTTCTTATTTAACGTATTGACTTAAAATTTGGTATGGTTATATTTCTGGGCTAGTTAATGATAAGATTGTTATCAATTTTGAGATTATACAAAGAAGGCGCAACCTACACTCTACTGAAAATTTTTTTTTATTCTTGACCTGTATAAAACATAATTTAAGTCTTTGTGGTATGTCCTGTAAATTTGAACAAAAAACGAATACTTGTTTTAATAGCATAATTTGAACTAATTTCGTAAAATTGGTGTTTAAAAGGTAGTAGAATTTTAAAATCCGGTCAAAAAAATGTAATCCTCATTTTACCAAAATATATAAAGAAGGTAAGAAAAATCATTCCCTTTTATTACAATCAAAGAAAAAAGAACATTATCTTTTGATAGACGAATTCTAAGATCAGACAATACATGTAAGACTTGTTGGAATGTTGTCTCAGAAATTACGAATAGATTGTCATAGAAAAGGACGGGATGTTATTGGATGATCCACGGGAGGTAGCTGCAGAGTTTAATAGTTTTTTTTTAAATATGCTCCTGGTCATTTGGTCGACAAAATAATAACAAAGTCTACTAGTAACATCGAAGGAATCACATCAAATAGAGATTTTTTCTTCCTTGCTCCATTTTCTCACACATAATTATTAAATTTATTACTTAGGAAAATTAAAAACAAAAGATCTTCTGGAGCCGATGACGTACCATATTTTGTACTAAAACAAGTATTAGATGTTCTCTCTGAACCTTTAACATATTTGGTAAACTTATCATTTGAGATGAACAGTTTTCCTCAAGTTTTAAAACTGAGGAAAGTTTTACCATTGCATATGAAAAATGAGCGTAGACAACTAGAAAACTATAGACCTGTTACTATTCCCTGGGGTCTGACTAAAATCTTTGAATATGCCTTTCTTGACCGTCTTCTGTCTTTCTTGAAAAGGTACAACATTATAACAGGAAATTAGCTTGGATTCTGTGCTAAAAAATCAACAAACACTACTATGCTTTCATTTTACAATAAAATTATTCACCATTTGGAAGAATCTGAATGCCCAGCTGCTATCTTTTGTGATCTCAGTAAAGCATTCGATTGTGTAAACCATGAGTTGCTATTAAATATATTGCACTGTTTTAAATTGGATCTCATCTTTTTTACGTGCTAGGAAGCAATATATTTCTTTAAAAGTACAAAACGACAACAAAATCAATACAATTAAAATTCTGATACTCTAGGAGTTCCTCAGGGTTTAATTTTGGGACCCCTATTGTTCATACTGTATGTAAACAATGTTGGCTCATTAATAGGTGATAATCATTATATAAGCTATGCAGATGATTTCTCGGCTATACTTTCAGCTAAAAATACAGATCTACTAAACAAAGAGAGCTCCAACATCGCTCAAAAATGTCAAGTTACTTTAATAGTCTTGATTTATTTTTTAATGCTAATAAGAAAATGTCCTTCTTAATAATGGGAATCCAAATAGATCAATACCTTGATTGGAAAGACCATTGTAGAGAACTGGTCAAAAAAATTAACTCGCTAAACTCTCTTTTCATGAATTTACGATCTATATTTGAAGTTCGTCAATTAGTTATGGTGCATTTTGCACAAGTAGACTCACGTCTAAGATACTGTGTATGCTTATGGGGAAATTCAACCTACTCTAAAAATGTTTTTCTTGCTCAAGAACGGGTTCTGAGAAGCATTGCTAAGATCTCACAAAGAGGCTCTTGTCGAGCATACTTCAAGGAATATGGCATATTACCTCTTTGTTTTATATCGAGGCTCAAAGTGCCAAATGAGTTGCGACACGCGCATTATACCTCATGGCGCTTAACGTGTTAACATTTTCTAACCACAATATCTATTTAATTTACTCAACAATATTTAACATAGTAAGCCATGCAATTTTTCGAATGGATTGAATTTATGCTATAACGACTTAAAAATGGTAAGACTAAAAAAAGTAAATAGTTTTTTTCATCCAGTAGGGTGTAGGTGACGACCTCCTTATCTAATCTACAAATTCATAACATGTTTATGATTTAATAGCTCAAAAATATAAGCATACCAAATTTCAAGTCAATGTGTTAAATAATAACGACAATATTGAAAAAAACTTTAACAACTTTTATCTCAGAAGTAGATTACATTTAACCCAGTGTTATTTAGCAAAATATTAATATTTTGAGCTCCTGAAAGTATGGTTAAAATATATACCATTATTTATGGAATATCCATAACCTATATGTTTTTTAGTGGGATTTTTCCAAATTTAGTATCAGACGAAGTAGATATATATTACGATTGAAAATCACCCACCTATTTCTATTTCTAATAAATATGACACATTTATCTTTAGATAGACATGTTATTAACAATTTGAAAGTTGCATATTATCAAGAAAGCAGCGTTTTTTATGTATAGTGTGTCTACTTAAGTGGGAGCCACATAAAAAAAGGAATAAAATATAAAAAATTCTGAAATTTTAAAACACACAATGGGTGGAATGAATAAAACTAGAATATTCTAGGTAGTATTTTTAACTAGTTTTAGCTCATTCTCATTAGACATCAAAATCTATGTCACAATATATACATTTAGTGCAAGAATTTATGACAAAATCGAAAAATGTTATTAAGTTGTTTATAGCGAATATGCGGTTCAATTTCTTTTTAAATCCGGGGTAGATGAATGTCAATAATTGCTCACTCTGTGTAGTAATACTAACACTGTCAAAGTTTTTCTTCTTCGTAAATAGCTCGCAAATAGCTCGTCAAAAATTGCAACTTTGTCATTTCGCTTTTTGTTTTTACTTTGATATTTTAAACCTTTTCGTTGGTAAATATATAAAAGACCAGGCATAAAATATGATGTATCAATAAGCAATTACTTATTACTATATTTTCATGGTACAATGATAATTGATCTTATTTTTAAGGCAGTCATAAAAAATTTATTTTTGTCAAAAATACATATTTTATATTTCCGAATCACCCTGTACAAAATACGCGAATAAGACAGGTGTGTTATGAGAAATATGTTCACAAAAAAGTGGCATTTTTGATGACTAGTCATAGAATCGGTTTAGGCCAATGGACACTTTTTCGCAGAGCATCAAAAGTTCTACAATATATCAAAATATATCAAAAAAGTTGACAGAAAAAGCCATTTGTTCATAAGAAAGGTGCCCAATTAAATGATGGCTATAAGACAAAGGCCAGCAAACAGAAGAAGACGCAAGCCAAATAAATAATCATCAAAATCATAAAATTATTGAATCTAAATATCATCTTTTTTTTGTATTTATTGTAATTCAATAAAAATCAGTATTACAATAAAAATGCTAAAAGTGAATAGTAATTGAAAATTACATAAAGATTTTTTCTGAATATTTCAAGTTTTTTGTTTCTGAAATAGGTTTTTTTTTAAATATTTCAACTCCCCCTTAACTCCCCATCTTTTTTATTCACATTTTATCAAAATAAACAGGCTGCTACCCTTATAGAACTTGATTTTTGCTAAAAATTGATTTCATTTTTCGTCCGAACAAAAAAGTGACATCGGATGGACGAACGACATTTTTAAAATTTGATGGAAGGATTTAGGTACAAATTTTTTTAAATTTAAATTTACTTTCTCGACAGTAAATATATAATACTCTTCACAGACTACTGTATTATAATCAGGTTTGAAAATATTTTTTTCTACACCCACATGGATATTACCTTATCTACGCACAGACTTTAAAACGAAAAAGTATGCTATTGCGTTCAACTGAACGAATATATTTCATATCCATTCTAGGTAGTGAGAACATTGCAAAAAATTAAATCCACCAATCACAGTTCATATTTTGGTTAACAAACTACTATTATGTTTAAAATTTTAAATAAATGACAATTCTGTCAAACTAATTGTCATTATATATTTTTTAGATATTGAAATTAAAATGAGTCATTCTTGTGTAAAATCGATAAATAATAGCAACTGTATTTTTATTTCGTCTATATTTATAAATAAGCCATTAATTTTAATTAAACTATATGAAGACAATTTAATTACGAGTATTAAAACTAAAATGTTATATATGGTGATGCAGCAGAGACTAAGGCATTTGGCTGTCATGCAGAGGTCCCGGTTTTAATTCTAAGATTAAATTAGATCTTCTTTATTATATAAATTAGTTAAAGTCATAAATTATTTTTAAATTAGTTATTTTATTTTAATAATCTATTTTTTTTAGATTTTCGTTAGTTGGTCGTTGAAAAAATATACTGTACAACTCGAATGGATTGTCCGTATCGCACTCAGACGATTAAGCACTCCGCCTTATAGAGAAAGTAAAAGTTGAAAAGTCTTTTGGTAGGTAGAGAGGGGGTAAACGTCAAACCACGTCGGGCGGCTCCGAGAATTTCGCAGTAATGTTTACCTGCCAGTGTCGTTTCATAGAATAAGTAATTTGAAATTGTTATCGGCGGAACCGGACAATCGCATGTATGTATGGATTATAAATAATTATTAAACATGTATTATAATATTCAAATCATAATTTTACAAAATTTCAACAGCTATTCACAATTTATTAAACTATTTACTCGAAATTGTTATTAACATCTATAAAATAATTTTGTACGCCAATGTATCGCGTCCACTTCGGTGATATCCG